TCAGGGAAAAGGCGGCCTGACTTGTAGCGAACACCACAAGCATTGCATAGAGATTTTGGACCCATCGGGCCAGCCCTCCACTGTGGAGTCTTTGTAATCTCGCAATGCATGCATTTCCTAACTGCTTGTGCTGGAGGGTTCCGATTCACTTCCAACGGACCAACGGGCACAAATGATTTAATTTTCTTTTTCTTCTTTTGTTCTGCTCGAATCGGTTTCATAACCTTTTCCATAGGTTGAGATTCTGCAAAATTTTCAGAATCTGAGGAAACGACAGGAGTGGCAAACAGCTGCGGGGTCTCTATAAAGGAGTTTGAAGGGGAAATAAGTTGAATCTCTGCTTGGGGATTGAAAGTTGGAGGGCGTGGACGTTTGCTCGGGGCACTATGTGGACCAAGGTGACTTTGGCCAAGAGGCATAATCTTCCCAACTGAGCAGGAACTGCTACTGCTGGTGCTGAGGCTCTCAAGCACCGAAACAGGACTGGAGGTCTGGAAATGCTGGTGGGATGGCTCCTTGTCAACATGAAGGTTCTCCTTTCCTAGAGTCATCCCCGCGCCAGAGAACGAATCCTCCACAAATGTAGAAAGCCATTCCAGTTGTATGATATCCTCGTACTGAGAGAGAAAACAAGGCAAGAAAAAGAAGATGAGAGTAAGATATAACATCGTATTTAATTTCAAAATCACGGTTGGCACAACAGAATTAGTATTCTACATTTCATTTAATCATGAAACATAGACATTATTGATGGAAAATATTAGCTAATCGAACATGTGATGAAGTACGATGTGCTGTGTGCAAATTCACGACTGCGAGCGCATGAAGTTTAGTAACTTCCACATGAAAAGGGATACAGAAGGCAGAGTATTTGTTATCGCCAATTTTCATGTCACAGCATCTCATGTTAAAAGACCAATCCCTCATTCTTTCTGCGAGAGCCTAAAAGTGTTCGAAGATGGAAATCATGAACTTCACCTAGCAGCTATGCAATAAGATTCACATGAATAATTAGCTATTCACGGCATCTCACGTTAAAGGACCAATCCCTACATAGACTCCATTTAATCAAAGAATTAATGGAAAGTTACAGATGAAACTGCGCTGGCAGTTTGAAAATGTACATCAAGAAAGAAATTTTCACAACGAAAACAAGTATGGAAAAAGAGGATTTATAAAGTTGGTCAGCGCCTTGAGAATTTGGAATTTGAATTAAAAATGTATCCTATATATTATTCATAAAAAGACAGATGTATGGATAGAGTGGACCATACCTACAATACACATTAATATTTGAATTTGAAACAAAATTATATAATTCAAATTTCAAACAAAACTTGTCCCACCGCTTCATAATTTCAAAATTAGCATAAAAAGTTTAGATAGAACCAAAAAAGCTTGTTCAACTGATCAGAGTATTATAAATGCGAAGAATGTGACAACCAACATCACCAATGTGGCATAACTACATTAAAAATCTTATAAGCACTTCTAATCAATTAAAAGCCTAAAGTCCTAATTTCAATAGCACCACGACTGTCACATAGATCCTCCCACCCCTACTTTTTTCATTTTTAATACCGATTTTGGGTGGGGAATAAGCGTGACGTTGCAACTAATAGCCGCAACCTTACCAAGAGACTAGGATGGCTCGACAAAAAATTTGAATCCAATACGATCACGTAATCTAATAACTGGTCCCACAGTATATGATTCGACAAATTTCACCGCTTGCATAACCTAATAACTGGTCCCACAGTACCTAATTTGAATAATTTCACCGATTGCATGACCTAATAACTGGTCCCACAGCACGTGATTTGACAAGTTTCACCGATTGCATATGTTAGAAAGGTCTCGAAAATTTTGAACAAGCAGTTAGCAAAAGTTAACTTGTTTAGAAAAATTCATGACAATTATATACCAAATCCTGATGCTCACCGGAACAGAGAGCTCGGCAGATAGATCAGACACAGAATTGCATTTGCTATTGAAGAAAGGAGGGTCGGAATCAGGCAAGGGATCATTCCAAATGCTCGCAGAATCCTTGCAATCGCCTGATTCAACCAGGCTATCATCACCATACTCATTGTCTGGGGGGAACTCAATCAAGTCATCAATTTGATCAAAGAAGTTTCCACAGTCATTTTCATCCATGCAATTTGGACCTGTCATTTCTATTCCCAAAAAAATTTCCAGAAAGAAAATTAAAAACAAGAATTAAGAGATTTGTATGTATGCACAAAAATACACATACTTTTGTAAATTGTAGACACTCTTAAATAACACAACAGTGGGGAAAACATTTAAAAAGGGTGTGAATTTAAAGCAAATATAGAAAATGGAGTTGTAATAGAGAGCACCGACACAATTTTGTGCCCAAAAGGCCACAAAATGACAGCAAACTTACATACTCAAATGTAGAAATGTTGAAGTGTTGAACAAACCTTAAAAGTGTGTTTGCAAAGGCAAAATATGAAGAACCCAAAATGCAGAGAGCTTGACTGCACAAAATTGTCAGAACTCAGTTTCCTCTACAGTAAATTTCCTGCAATAAAAAGGAAGAAATGGTAATTAATTACACGTTTCATTAAAATGGTTTTTTGAAGAAATACAAGATAAGATTAACTTTTCAAGAATGCTAAAAGACATAAAAATAGAGAATAAAATATTTTAAATTTTTGCTCAAATATGTGAAGAAACTATTCGTTTGGCCGCATTTGAAAACAAAAACGAAGGGCCATAGAGACTCAAACATTTCCATTTTTCCGAAAAATGAAAGTTGGCAACATAAAAAAATTTAACATATTCCTTGACAAAAACAAATTTTGTGCAGATTCGTAGGGAAAACGAAGGGAAATCTAAAAAGACACAAACTTTACCATTTTTTCTTCATTTTTTCCCTTGGAAAATAGAGAGCCAAGGAATAGCTCAGATTTTAGTACAAAAAATGGACGGAGAATTGCAGAAATGTGTAACTCCAGTCATGGAAGTCAGAGAAAACAAGTTATGGGAGAAAACTGGCAGAAAAAACAGAGCCAAACCTGTGTTTAAACCTTCAGAAGATAATCTTCCCACCAAAAACTCCTATGTCAATTGACACAGGAACTGGGAGAATTCTTTCTCTTGGGCACAAATTTCAAGGCAGAGAAGCCCAGTCTGAGTCTGAGAAACAGCAGAAAAAAAGCCTCAAAGAAACAAAACAAAAAGGACAAAAAGAAATCCAAACCCCTATGCTGTTATTCCTCCATTACTACAGCCTATTCTACAGTGAGAAAGCAAGGAGGAGGAATGAAAGTGAAAATAGGGTCTGTGAAGAAGAGAAAGTGTGGGAGGAAGAGGTTAAAAAGAAAGGAAACATGGTAGGAGAAATTCTTGATTCATTGCAAGCTGTCTGTCTTTTACTCTCACTCTTCACTCATCACTATCGTGATGTTTAAGTCTCCTCTACCCCCGGGTGGGACCCATAACAACTCCCACCGCTGTCCCTCCCCCCTTCCTTGAGTCCTTCCCTCTCCCTCAGTATTTTTTTTTTCTTTTCAATATTCCATTTGTATTCTGGGATAATGCTAGTGATACATAATTTTTTGCCATAATGGTTCACATGAGATGAGGCCGACCAAAATGTGGAACCCACCCATGTAAATGTTATGTGAACCTTATGAATAAAAATTATGTACTCATAGCATCNTAATGCTAGTGATACATAATTTTTTGCCATAATGGTTCACATAACACTCACATGAGATGAGGCCGACCAAAATGTGGAACCCACCCATGTAAATGTTATGTGAACCTTATGAATAAAAATTATGTACCCATAGCATCACTCTTGTATACGCGTATGCAAATGTAAAGGGAATCTGTATCTCTGTATGTATTTATTTGTATGTGCATGCGTACGTACATATGTTATTTTGTGTATAATAATTGCTTTCCTTACTTTTTAGTATATTTTGTGTATTTAATTATGTGTTAAATCGATGTTTGATTAATTGAGTTGTTTAAAGTTTAATTTTTTATCCACGACCAATATTTTATTCTTATACAATTCTTACCATTAGTTACGTGTGACTTTATGTCCATGTTTAATTCAAATAAAAAGTTAGATTAAAACTTAAGCTAAAATTAACAATTAATGTTAATAACACATTTCATGCATACACAATTTTTCAATTATACATTTTATCAAATTTTATCAAAATCTACTAAAATTTGATTTTTTATCTAAATCA